GTGCAGCCATATGAGCCCCAAGGATTATAGACCGATAAGCCTTACATCCTTTCTACTCAAAACACTAGAAAAGCTGCTGGATCTACACATCAGGAATGATGTAGGGAGACTGATGGTAGAGACGGCACTGCACTTGCTAGTAGCCACCATCGAGAGAGCCCTCCATAATAAAAAGTATGCTCTAGGAGTGTTCGTAGACATATCCGGAGCATTCAACAACGTCACTACGAACGCTATTATGGACCGCCTAGAAGCGACCAACACACATCCCGCAATCAACCTCTGGATAAAGAACCTTCTAAGTTGCAGACGGGTGCAATCAGAGTGGGGCACCGCTTCCCTGGTGAGGGGGGCGCATAGAGGCACACCACAAGGTGGGGTCCTGTCGCCCCTCCTGTGGAACCTGGTGGTCGACGACTTAATAAAGAGATTCGAGAGGAGAGCCCCAAAAATAACAGCCTATGCAGATGACATAAGCATAATTATTACGGGAGTATGTCCATCGACCCTCAGCTCCATAATGGAATCAGCACTCAGGGAGATATGTGAGTGGGCAGGAAAAGTAGGACTCAGTATCAACGCGGACAAGACGGACCTCATCCTCTTTACCAAGAGATACAAGGTACCGGCATGGATCCCCCCGAAAATTGATAAAACCAGGCTGACCCCGAAAACACAAGTCAAATACCTCGGCATAGTACTGGATAGCAAGCTGGCATGGAGGCCCAATGTGGTGGAAAGGGTGAAGAAGGCCACCATTGCGCTATACGCATCCAAGAAGATGCTTAGCAGCACGTGGGGCCTGTCACCCGCTCTAATGCACTGGATCTACATCTCGGTGGTGCGACCGACTCTGCTGTACGGAGTCTTAGTGTGGTGGCAAGCGACAGAAAAGAAGACGTACAACAAGCTTATGGAAAGGACCCAGCGGCAGGCACTGCTCTGCATTACGGGGGCGCTGAGGTCAACCCCAACAAAAGCTCTCGAAACCATAATCGGAATAGACCCCCTGGACATCCACGCTCAACTGACTGCAGGAAAGGCGGCACAACGCTTAGTAGCATCAGGCAATATGTCTCTACAAGGATTCGGGCACAGTTCAATTGGCCGAGACATGACCAGTATATCTGACTACATGATCCCCCAAACTGGCCTGGATGTAAAAACAACCTCATACATGGGACCCGATGATTGGAAAAGGGGTCGGGACCAGACTCAACACCTCAACATCTACACTGATGGCTCCAAGATGGAAGGAGGAGTAGGAGCAGGCATATACTGTACAGACCCTGAGATAAGGCTGTCCTATAAGCTACCGGACCAATGCAGCATATTCCAGGCGGAAGTCTTCGCCATACGGAAAGCGGCAGAGGCTGCTCAGTCTACGGATCGTCCACATGACGTGATCAACCTGTTCGTGGACAGCCAAGCGGCGATAAGATCCATGCAGTCGTCGGCGGTCATTTCCAGAAATGTCTTGGCAAGCAGGGAGGCACTAGATATCCTAAGCACGACAAAGTCAGTGCGGATCTACTGGGTTCCCAGCCACCAAGGCATCGATGGCAACGAGATGGCGGACGGTCTGGCTAAGGACGGCGTCGGGCTGGAAAACGACAGAACTGAGAACGTGCCTGTCTCCCTTAGAACGCTCCAAAGCGATTTAGAGAAACGGGCCGACACACAGGCAAGAAGCAGGTGGAGCAGAACCACCACCTGCAGAACCTCAAAAAATATGTGCAAGGAGCGCAACAGGAAACTCAGCCACTACATACTGCACCTCCCACGGAAGGACTGCAGAATGTTGGTGGGAATACTCACAGGTCACTGTCTGGCCGCGGCACATGCCGTCAAACTAGGCATCACCAACAGTGGCCACTGCAGGAAATGCGAGGAATCCGGGGCAACTGAAACCCTGGAACATCTCATCTGCAACTGCCCGGCCCTCTCAAGGGCTAGGAGAACATACCTGGGCGCCCCGGTACTGGCATCACTGGAAGATGCCTCCAAGAGGACGCCAGGGGAACTGCTAGCCTTTGCCAAAAACACCTCGATCCTTAGGGACTTCAAAACCTCATAAATATTTTCGAAAGGTTCATACACCCCCATCCGGACAACTAAGGGCCATATTGGCCTATGCGTGGCCCCGTGAGGGCCGTCTGGGTTAACCTAACCTAATTCAGATTCGGCAGTCTGGTAGATATGGGCATTCTCTACGATACTGCGTTTTTAGTTTTATCGTATCTTTAAAATTGTGCCTGCCACAGATTTTCGTCCTTTGTGGGGGCGGAAGGGGGCGGGGCGAAATTCTGAAATACACTTGTAGCAGTGGGATATCACATGAGTCTGGAAACCAAATTTGGTTGCCCTAGCTCTTATAGTTTCTGAGATCTAGGCGCTCATCGAGACAGACAGACAGACAGACAGACAGACAGACAGACAGACAGACAGACAGACAGACAGACAGACAGACAGACAGACATGGCTATATCGACTCGGCTATTGATGCTGATCAAGAATATATATACTTTATGGGGTCGGAAACGTTTCCTTCTCTGCGTTGCACACATCCACTTTTACCACAAATCTAATATACCCCTTAACTCTTTTTTGAGTACGGGTATAATTACTGATGGTTGTATGGGTTAAAGCATGAAATCCTATTTTTCAGCTACTTATGGGAAGTTTGACCAGCAACGGACCAGTATCGGACGGTATTTTTTGAGGTAAAATTAGTTTTGAGTCGTTTTGGTCAATCGATTTATCCATCGATTCTTACAAACAATAGTATCGTTACGATACCTTAAAATACTGCAAAAAAGTATCAAATTTGAATTAAAAAGCTTTATATCTTCCAGACGTTAAGCTGCAGCTACAAAGTGTCTGGTCGAATTAATAGCTGCATTTGTTCTATGCAACCAGACATAAGATACTTCAGCCATGTGAAAAATACAAGCACTACCTCTGAAAAAAAAAACATGAAATATCTCAGATTTTAAATGATTCTTAAAAAAAAACTAAACCATCAAAAACCATAATTCTTAAAAAAATTGTAAATTTTAATCTAACAAAAAAAAAATTTTGGGCCACAGCCGAAATTTCCGGTCGACTAGTGTTATAGAATATTAAGAAATGCATATCCCGAGGTGGAGTTTTTAATGGCTTTAGTCAAGGAAGATTTGATTTATTACCAATTATTTCCTATAATTTAGATACTATCGATGTTCTCCGGAAATGATTTTAGCAAAGTGGAATATGATCATCAACATTTAATTGACTCAATTAAATTTCATGCAGAAATTTAAACAAAACGTGTAACTCTCAAATGTTATTTGCGACCAAGAGCTAAAACGGTGCCTTCTCATGTGTTGCTCAGTAGTCTCCTCGGACTATTTTTGATATTGAACATCAATTTTAACGTAAATTATATTATATTATATATAAATATATATAAATTATATTCCACAATATTCTAGTCTGAAAATTTAAATATTTTATTTTGTTTGTTAGAGCTTGAAAAAATTCCTTGGTAGTGTTCCACAACTGATTAATGGCAAAGATATCCATTCCACTTGCTTCAGTAGGCTACAGGCTATTTGAAGAGTCTATTAACATTAATCATACATGTCCCTATGTAGTGACATTTGAAAAAACCGTTTAAATTAACATATAAAATCCCATTGCAGGGTTCACAGGTTATAAAGGATTTTTATTTAAAAAAACCCGACTTGTTGCGTCTTCCCCTTCCGACGGGGTATTACATGCTGTCGCTACGGTGGTTCCTTGAAAAACAGCTCGCAGCTGATACAAAGGTGAGTTTCAAGATCGTAGAGGATCTCCTGAAGAGCAACTAAGGAAAACCGTTTGTCTATTCTATACGAATAAATGAAGAACATTGAGGCTTATCAGGCTGTCATTTATACTCGTATTCATTTACAATGTCACGGTTCAATGGCAAACTTTAAACCAAAACTTACATCCGTTTCGAGGCCCGGCCCGACCCAGGAAGACAAATTACGGCCATGTCTATTTCTTATTCTTTTTCCTCTCCTTCTTGCTTTGCAAAATGTTTACAAAACGCAATTTGAGTGCAGACATTTTCCTCACTCAGCAACGCCTAGGATTGCAATCCCTGATGAAACTATACAAGGTGGTGTATTGCCGCAGCACGACCTCTTTTCTAGCCTTATTTTGCTGGTACAACTGCAAACACAGCAGAAAAATTCCATGTGATTGCATGTGTGTGAGTGATGAAATGAATGTGTGTGAGGATGAAAATGATCCAAAGACTCCAAAGGAAAGGGAATTCACCACCTTATATAGTTTCATCATGGTACAGTCCACCAATTCGAATTGCCTCTCGGGTCTCTTACGCACTCTCTCACCAACACACGAGCACAGGAATAGAATAGGCAGATGACAAGAATAACGGCCAACGATATAACGGAATCCAAAGCACAGAAGAAAATAGTACTACAGAAAAATATACCACACGCGGATAATAATTTCGTAGTCAGTTCATGCAAAGTCATCGTTGAACACCTGGCTTTTGAACTGAATTAATGCTAGCAGCGCGCATTTGAGTGCATACTTTTAGGATATATAGAAACTGAGTACCAGTAGGCATTATTTACATTAGCTTAATGTATCCGAAAACTTAATGTATTAAGAGGGTAGTGGCAATAATTAAAACAAAATCAAAATAGTTAAATTGGTTTTAATTACTTCTCATTTTTGCATGGGAGGAGACCTAGCTTCGAGGCATTATATACCCTTGTAAAGCATTTCCATGAAAGCGTATCATTTATATTTTGGGATCCGATCCATACTAGTGTATGGACAGATAAATGAACACACAGACAAATGGACATGTCTATACCCTCTGAAATTGATATTCATATAAATTGAATTTTAATTGAATGAACAAAGCTGTTCGTGCGGAATGAATTCTGGCTAAGAATATTAAATCGCTGGGATTCAGTACGCATTCGTTTGTCGTTCGATTAGGAACAATGCAGTCCAAAGTAATATTCTGTGTTCTATTTGGAATATTTCTAACGTCTACATTCGATTTTAATGTAAATATACCCTAAAACATTCTGTGAAACAGGTTCTGCACTAATAAGAGTTCGCAGGATGCGGTCGTTTTCAAGTTTACAAACGTCGTCTGTGAGAGCTTCAACAAATCCTGGTTCGTGTTCCACAACTGTCGTCTGAAGGCTGTCAGTCGCACCAAAGTGACCTTCAACATGAATGCGACGATATTGCATCCAACTAACGATATATTTATTCATGCCAAGGTGTTCAAAAGAGCAAATGGCTACAAGCCATGGCTTTTCGACGTCAACTTTGATGCTTGTCTGTATTTGCGAAGGCGTAGTATACCCTTTGTTTCCCTAGTCTACGGGCTCGTCAAAGAGTTTTCCAACATTAATCACACATGCCCCTACGTGGTAAGAAGATACGGCTACTTCTCATATATACATCTAAAATTACCATCCCCATCACAGGGTCCACAGATAATCAAGGATTTTTATCTAAAGCCCGAGCTACTGCGTCTTCCCATTCCAACGGGGGATTATATGTTGTCGCTGCAGTGGCTATTCAATAAAAAGCCACAATTTGACACGAACGTTAGTTTTACTTTCGTGGAGGATCTACTGAAGAGCAAATAATCTCCGTGTAAGAGATTGCAATGATAATATTTTGGATATCCTTCGTCATAATATACTACATATATGTATATATATACATATATATACAGTTTGTTCATTGTATTGTGCAATTCCAATTGTATTTTAATGACATCAAAATTTTTATTATGTGTGGAAGTTTCTCCTCATTTCATCATTGCAATGTGAATTAAATTGAGAATTATTTTAAGCGGAGAATACATTATATGCACAAGCGGTTGTCACTCTTTGATAAAGGTATGCTTTATATGTTTGGGAATATTTTTAGCCGCTAGTTATCTTCAAGTTTACGAACTGAAAGTGAAAGTTACATCCAGTCCTGGTTCGTGTTTCACAACAGTCGACTGAAGGCCGTCAGTCGAATGCCTCCTTAATGTCAAACGGTATTGCATCCTGCCCACGATGTATCCGTGCATGGCAGGATGCTCAATAGGGCAAATGGCTACGAGCCCTGGCTATGCGACGTTAAGTTGAATGCCTGCCAGTATTTCCGAAAGCGAAATACACCCTTTGTTACGATAATGTATGGATAACATTAATCACATCCGGCCCTACGTGTTTAGTTTCTATAAGTATTATCTAGTTCCAAGTTCCACAACCAACAAATTAAAGGAAACTACTTCCATTTGCGACGGGCGATTATATTATATCGATTCAGTGGCACTTTGATAAGAAGTCTCAACTCGGTAAAAATGTAAGTTTTGTATATGTGGAGTACCTTAATGCAATTTCAATTAAAAATGAAAAATAGATCCATTTTGACTTATTTGACTTATGAGAACACGAGACTTGAGAAGTAAATTGGTGATTCTTTTATGCGGAAATTCACTGTCTCGCTTTTCCAAGCTGCTTTTTAGTGATCTCTTCGGATTTTTCAGAAGGAGAGCGGCCTTCACAAAGTAACAAATATTCCACAGGATGCGGTCGTTTTCAAGTTTACAAACTTCGTCTGCGAGAGCAACAAAAAATCCTGCCGTCAGTCGAGGCAAAGTACACCTCAATATGAATGGGTTGCATCCGAACTTCAATGTATCACTTTATGTGAAGGTGTTCAAAAGGGCAAATGGCTACAAGCCATGGCTTATGGACGGGAACCATCGATGTTTGCCAATTTATGCGGAGGAGATATATCAAAATAGTCTATAATCTGTTCAAGGAATTTTCCAACATCAATCACTCATGTCCGTTTGTGGTAAGTAATAATTCAATATTCTTCGATTAAACTTTGTGTTAACCCCCAAAGGGTCCACAAATAGTCAAGGATTTTCGATCTAAGCCCTCTTAGCGGTTGTCATAGCAGTATATCGTTTATAATAAACCACAATTCGATACAAATGTCAGTTGTGTCTATGTGGAGGATCTACTAAAAAGGAAAAGCTAATTAAGCATATTTTTTTAAATACAATTAAGAATTTCTTTCTATACATTTTTTATTTTTTCATTGAAAGGAAACCATAATGACGCAAATAGGTGATGTAATGGCTGCCTGGCTTTGGCCAGCGGATGCCCGTTGTCGGCTGAAATAGTTGCCACTAATGATTACACGTACTCGTACTCGAACTTTTTTGTACTCGTATGCAAAATTTTTTGCACTTCTGTTGCCAGACACATGATTGGATTTGCACTGCGCCAAAGCACCCGAGTTGCTAGATCTTGAATGGAGATTGCAGAGCAGAGTAGAGTTCGATATCATTTCTTGTATGCAAAAGTCTTTGACCACCTCTTGGCCGTAGATTGAACATAACCATTCTTGAAATTGTCACAGAGAGCCGGAGAGTCAGACAGTCACCTGTGAGTATTCCAATAACAGTCCTTCCCTGGAAGGTGCAGTAAGTAGGGACTAAGTTTTCCATTGCGCTCTTTGTACATAGTTTTCGATGTTCTGCAGGTTGTGGAACTCCGCCACGTGTTATTGGTCTGCACACTGGCCTGATCCTCCAGATCGCTAGATCTAGAGGCACGGCCTCGTCCTTTCTTATCTATCATTCGCCAGCCCGAGGCCTTCTATCGCTGACTTGGTCGTGCTTATGGTTGGCACCTCCTGGCCCTTCTTCAGCGTTCTCTGGAGTGAAGGACCATTCTTAGACTAAGCAGTTAGACTTTGGAGCAGTTAGACCTTTCTGTTAGGTTCATCTTTGAGATACCCTGCCTTTTAAAACGCATTCCAGTAAAGATTTCCTAACCGTATTGCTAAGATAAACCTACCAATTTTGGTCCAATTGAATTATTGTCAATGTTTCGAGTAAAATCTGCAAGAAAAGAAAGAAACAAGATACAAATTAGAATATTTTCAACACCAGGAATGATTGAATGATTCCTAAACAACAGAAAAGTATCTACATTCATTGTTCTATATGGTGACTCTACAACTGTGGACAAATCTCCCCGAAACAAGAACCCGTCTGGCGTCCAGAGCGCCTAAAGAGGCGCTAATGAAATTCCCATTGACGTAAATTCCCAACATCCCGACATAGACATCAAGAAACAAACCACAATCGATGGATGGATAAACAAAACTTAACTGCTCTCTGCGCCCCAAAAGAATATCTCACCAACCATCTTGTGTGCGGCAAGCTACCAATTTTAGGCATATGAACTCGCCTCTCGAAGTATACTTAGAAGCAGTAACACACACAGATACAGATACCAGAGATACATTCGGGGGGAGGAACGGAGACGTATGAGTGATTTCTATGGCTCTCCTAACGTAAGCGAGTATTCTCGAGGTCAGCCACTTTTGTTACGAGACGGTCCCCCTCCCCCACCAATCCACCAACCACCCAACACTTTTTTCTTGTATCTGTAGCTGTAGTCTATCTTTCTCTCTCTCACTATTCTCAGACACTCTTGACCAACATATACTCCCATCAAGCCAAATCCTAAAACTCTGGCTCTGTCCGGTTTGCAGTCAATGCATTTGTACGTATATCTATGTATCTTTTTATCTGTTGCTGCTGCTGCTGCTGCTGCTGTTGCTGATGTTGCTGCTGTTGCTGCCGTGTGGTTTTTACTTAATTTACTTTACTGTTATGTTTTTGCTTTCCGCTTGTTAGGCAAGAGCCATGCAAGCAACCAGTCAAGCCATCGACGTGTGTACGTGTACGTGTACTTGTGTGTATCTGTCAGATACTTTTCAGTTTCGGCTGGTTCTATGGTGCAATGGCCACACATCCATCCATCCATACATCGCTAGCTGCAATACACTTGACATTTGGTGGGCAGAGGCGGGGGCGTGGGTTAAACATACAAATAATTTCATAACCAATCCGTACATATATATGTACATAAATACATATGTAGATATATGTATGTATGTAATATCAGAAATATCAAAGCATAATGCCAAAGGTTAATGCCAAACCGATTTGACCAACAAAAAACCCAACTATTTTCACGTATTATATTTGTATCTTATTATTACAGCATTTCACAATTTGTTGTTGTAATTTGTTTGGTGTCGACTCCAGATATTATGCAATGTTGGTCTCTTGGCCATAAAGAGTTTTGCTGGCCATTATCAACGCCATAAACAATTAGTGCAAGACCGAATCAATAACATAACCGATTTCTGTTCAGCTTTTACGGCTTTGATTTTTATTGGTACACACGCTTTCGGATCGCCACAGTATCTTTCGGATAGAAGTTGTATCTTTACGAGCTGCATCCCATAAACAAAGAGGACGCATTGTGTCCCATTGACACAGATTGCAATTTATGAAATTTTATTGCTCTGCTTGTGCCATATATTGAAGGTGTGTGTGTGTGTGTGTGTGCGGGGGCTTGGGTCTGACCTCCCCCCTCCAGCGAATGAAACAGCATGACCCAAATACGATCTAAGCCTTTGCAAGTGGTGGAGAATAAAGTTGTAAAGGTAAAAGTGTGCGAGGAATCAGTGTTTCGATCAGAGAACATACGATTAGGAACTAGGAATACGAAAATGAAGATGCTTTATGTTAATCACGATAATCACAACTGAGTCTCACTGGCATAAAGCTGGTTGTGGAGAAAGAGAGAAGAAGAACTTCTAAGAAGAAGTTCCTGCTTTATGCTCATACAAAAACCATTCTATACTCGTAGTTACATCTTCAGCTAAAAACGTGAAGCTTCAATTACAACAACCATCCAACCGAGATACTCAATGAGTTCTTAGGCAGACTTCTGATTCACTTCTCAAGTTAAAGCTTGACAAAATATTTACAACATGTAATGGAGGATGAGCCGCCGCCGCTGCCATTGACAACTTTAAAGCAGCACCGAGCCGGAGAGAGATCGCTGTTTGCTAAGGCCGTGGGGCAGAGAGAGGGAGCGCTGAAAGACTAAGTAAACTGAGCTGAGAGCCACCATCTGGGGGTCTCTGAGAGACAAAAGGCGTGAAGCCTAAACCGATGATAAGTGCCTATAATGTCTATGAATATCCGGCTGCAGGCAGACACCAAGCCGAGGCAAATGGAGGCCTCAGAGTTTCAGAGCTTCAGAGCCGAACCAAAGTAGTAGACAAACAATGTGACTCAAAGGATCCGCTTGGGGTCTGTCTGTGTGTCTGTCTGTCTGTCTGTGTGGAAGCAAAAGGGTAAGGAACCATAATGACAACATGACATGCAAAGTTTTGTCAAAGCCCAGACACGGGCAAACAATGTTCCGAGTCTTGGATGGGGGGATGTGCTTAAAGATGTGGATGTATCAGAGGTAGATGTATCTGTGGATGGGGATGGAGATGAGCCTCTCCTTTGCAGACATAAGTAGCCAATGCGGCTGGATGCGGGCCTTAATCAACCTGAGAGAGGAGGAGAGAGAGAGAGAGGAGTACCACTCGCAGGAGGACCCGAGTGCTGTGTGCTGATTCTTTATTATTTTTTACATTTTTTGTGTTTAGCACGTTATATGAATAACTAATTGAGAGCGTACACCGCAACACGTACACGTATTCGCATGGAAGGTATACACGGGACAGGAATGTTGCTAAGTGCACTGCGAGAAATCCACGGGTATGATGTTCCTTTACATCGATCAGTGGAATATCTTTGCAGCTTAGCGGGGCCACAAACATTCTTGTGTCTGGGTTTACACATTCTGTAGGACGTCCTTGCTCGGCACATTGATGCTCGGCACATTGATGCTCGGCTTGCACAAGCGAAGCCAGCCAAAGAGAATGCCCAAGAATTGCAAAAACAACTGACATTGTGTGTGCATGACATTAATGATCGTCCCGAGATCGTTGAGATTGTATTTGGAGAGGAAGTAATGGAATTTAGGTATATTTTACAGTGCCTATTGGTCAAGGGCTTCTTTCAGTGCACTGCATCCATTAGATACAAGTGTACACATGCTGTATATTCCTTGTATCTGTATCTGGGTATTCCTCCTGAGGGGCAATGCCTGTTGAGGGCGGGCAACCATGACTGGGCATAACAGCAAAGCGAAACGAAATCTTGGCTTAAAGAAGAAGTGGAGTAGGACAGCAGCAGAAGCAGCAGGCCATCATCTTGGACTCTCTGTTCTCCGTTCTCCGTTCGGTCTTCGATCTTCGATCTTCTCCTCTACTCGATGCTAAACTGGTAGCACATTTCTTCTCGTATCTTTTTTTTTTTTAGGTCTGTGTCTTGGGGGCTGAGTCATCTTCAAGTCGGGTAGTCGCGTATTCGACTGTTGGCTGTCGAGCGCTGCCTGTGTTTTGCATTAGGCCAAGTTCGATGACTAAGCAGAGACTTGATTTCTGGTTCCTCTGTGGCTGTGAGGCCTACCGGCATACCGGCATACCGGCATAGCTTTAATGTGTGACGGCAGCTCCCAGATGGGAGCTTGATGGCTTGCAGATGTTGTCATCGGGGTTACCTTACCCAATGCCTCCGTCTCAGTTTGTGCTTGAACTTGGTCGGGTGGCAATGATTTCATGGTTCATCTCTGAGATGAGATCTACGAGTATTATATGCCATTTCCCACTTCATTTCCACACCAGAAGGAATCTATTGAGTTGCACAAGTCGTTATTTCCCTCTTCAAATATTGCTCAAGTTTTCCTCCGCCGATTGCCCCTCTATAATGTTGCTTTTCCAACACTTTTTTCCACTATTTTTATTGTTTTATTGTACATTAAATAAGCTCGTTAAAATCAAATGCATTTGTTAAATGTGCAAAACAGAAATAGAAACACACAGATCCACAGATACATATGAACAAATGTATATGTATTGGTATGAAGATGAAGCAAACAAAAGATACTTTTTGTATTATAGTTTTTTTTTTTGTATTGGTTTTGTTTTTGTTTCAAAGCCAATGCTTGCGAAACCGTGACACATGGCGAAGGCCAACAACAGATTTAAACAGACTAGACGCTGATGCAGAGGATGATGCTGCTGATGATGATGATGATGAAGATGGTGGTGTTTGAGCAATGAGAAAACAAAAATAAAACATGACAAACGAATGGGAATGAGGAGAGGCACTACTATAGAATGCAATTTACAGTTGAAATCTTTAGGGAACGAGAGTTTTGATAACCATGGATGGGGTATTCTTCTAGAATCTAGATGGATGGATGGAAAATAACTTTCATCCTTATATAAAATAAGTTCCCAATTGATAAATTAATATATCTTTTAGTTAGAAGAATGCCTCCATTATTTTAATTTAAGTTTTGGACATGGGCTATCTTTATTACGAGTAATTAATAAATAAACATATATGTTTTATCGTATTTTATGGGATTTTAACTCTCTTTACAATAATTAAGTGAAGTTTTAGAGCCACTGGCCTCCGCCCCTAACTGCTGATTTCATTAATTTCCATTCATTTCCACCATACCACCCAATCGATGCCCCGGATTGTTGTGGCGTTGCCATATGGTCTATAATTTATGCTCGTTTGATCATTTGCCACACTCTTCCAGCCCCAGTCGCAGTTCCAGTTCCAGTTTCCAGTCAAATTGCTGCTCAATCGATACTTAATTTCAGTTTCATTCGAATTCGGATTCCCTCTCTCTTCAAGTCGCTCTTCCTCTCTATAGATACAGATACTCCTCACAAACATAGATACATACACACAATTACCGGTACATACACATATGTACATGAGATTTAGAGAGAATTCAATGAGTAGAATCAGCGCAATGATCGCGCAAAATTAATTTCCCTTTAAACTATTATTTTGTTGTTGCTGCTCGGTTCGGTTCGGTTCGGTCGTTGTTTTGTTTGTTTTTTTTTCTATCCACCGAAGTGGAACAGTTTTCGTTTCGCTTTTGCGTTTAGTGGGACAATCGATCGATGTTCTCTCAGGTCCACTCGTACGAGGCGATCGAAGACCGATAAGGGTTTGATTTATGGGAAAAGCAATGGAAACGGAATGCAATGTAATGAAAAAGATGGCAGGAGCCGTATGCAAATGTTGCTGTCAAATAAATTAAAGTATCCGTAAGAGTATTTTTCACAGATTTCGAATGTATTTAAATGAAAATATTAAAAATATTCATAAGAATAGGAGTATGCCGTCGTTTATCCGTCAAGTGGCATTAGAATACCTTTTATACAGGAATCTTTTACCTTTCAAAAATAGTTATAAGACCTCTTATCTTGGGAACATGAATAGCTTCATCTCTGAAATTCTTTACATTTCTAATCTAAAAAAACTTCCCATTGAATCAGTTTCAAGTTCTCTTCTGCATCCCATGATTACATCAACTTTACATGCAGCTTAAAGGCTTCATTCCCTGCTCTTCTGACTGTTTTTGCCTTCTAGTCCTCCGCCGCCCAAATGTCATGCAAAATACCTTCGGAGAAACCCAACGAAGCATGCAACAGAGTCTACCTCTTAAGTCACACGCACAACGCCCCGAAAAGGCGAATCTTTGTGCAACAATTGCAGTGGCACGAAGCAGGAGGGGGCGGCGGAGACTCGCCTCGACTCATGTGAACAATCTGGTAGTAAGGTCTAAGAGTCTAGAGGTCTATTGTATTTGGAAGTTAATCTTTATCTGTTGCCAACCTGCCACGTTATAAGCGAAAATCTCATAAGCTTTTAATTTTTCATATACTCGTACATATATTTCTCTTGGCGTTTTCGCTGCGGTCGCGTAATCAGGGTGTAACAATTACGCGTCTTGAATTGCCATAGACAGAGAGAGAGAGAGAGAGAGAGATACAAAGATACAAATGCAGCTATGGCTCTGACTCTGAAGCTGACTCTGCCGCGCCCCGTCACGTCTTACGTGTTAGCCGTGCTTTTGCCTCTGTACGGGGTTCGGTTCTCATTCGAGCCAACACACTCGTACTCGTACTCGTACGAATATGCGAAATAATTTCAAACTTTGTATTGTAATTGTAGACTGTGGCTCTCAGGCTCCGTCATCCATCTATCTGTACTTGTATCTGGCATTTGTGTTAGATTCTTACTTAATTTCAATTCTGTGGTTACGCTTTGCATTTGATTGCCTGCGACTGGCTTCATGGTTAATTAAACGCCTTAAACTCGCCTTTTGGCTGGGGCCAGCGCCATCGCCAGCGCCATCTGTTGGCCGTCAATTCATAATGATTTCACGTCGGATCGAATCGGATCGCTTGAAGGTATGTAATTTTCGCAAAAGTCAGCCCCAAAAGAGGAATTAAATTTGGTTTTAGAATGTTCATCTAGCGATCCAGCGGCGAGCACTCGATGGCCATATAATAAGTACCGCTAATTAGGGTGTGGCACGAACAGTGTGGGCCACCCACCCGTAAAACACAAAATATGTATGTGTGCCACAAAAGAATGTGCCATAAGGAAAGGAATGTTGTATGCCTAATGGCTGTGCTTATGGCCAAATTGGTCAAATGGCATTTTCAAATGGTGTTCAAAATGTGTTTGCGAATTGATAAACAATTGAACCTAATGGCCGAAAATGGCAGGGCATGGGAGATTGCGAACGGAATGGAAGAACAGTCCCACCACGCGGGTTGCGCTTAAGAGAGGCAGCGGAACTGTACCTAATGTGGGATATGTTCATTGAGGGATTTATATGTAGAATCTCATAGATCTACCATGAGATAAAGCTATCGTCTGCTTGAAACCAAGAGTTTTGTAGATGCCCAAGAGATGTAGCAGTTCATTTCCATAGACCAAAGCGGGTGTTTATAATATTTCGCAGACGAAACTAAGGTGGATGTATATTTATGGTATATTGGTATTGGATAATATATTTCATCCATTTTGTGGGATGTTTGGATAAACGCGTATAATAATAACAAGCTAAAGAATTGGTCTCGTAAAATAAGCGGAAAATTACAAAGAAAGTGAAGGTAGCGACGAAGTACATATGTACTAAATATACATACGAGTATGTAAAATAATTAAATCCAATGTTGATAGTTACCTACACATTCGAATGGACATTGTTTTAATCTAGTTTTGTTGATGAGCAAGACTCTAACTATCTGTTCATAGCACCAATCAGCACTTTCGGATGAGCGGGATACTCATTAACGAATGACTCAAGATTATAAAACACATACAAATCTACATATGTATAAGCGAATGAACTAGCTATTCAACACAAAATCCGCAACCTCAAACAAACAGAAGACAATCAATAACAAATCGAATCTTAGACCAAAGAAGAAACCAACAAATGATCCGACATCCCCAAAACCAATCGTGCAAAAACACACACAATATATCATTGGAAGTGTAACCTTCGAGGCAAATGAAACGAAACGAAATCGTTCTATAAGACAATCCCCCCCAATCCAAATCCCAATCGCAATCGCAATCCGAGTCCCAATCCCACACTGCATACAAAAGATCAAAGCCAGAGAGAGAGAGAGACAGAGTGAGAAAGATTCGTGGACCCAAAAAGATGACAACGAATATGGCAATCATTCATTTAGCTGCCTGCCAAAGTCATTGCTAGACATTGCAGATACATATCTTGCGAGTAGTATATTGTAGGTGAACGATAGATAGATGCTAACGAATCGAAAGGCAGACAAAGACTTGAGGCGCCACAGAAACAGAGGCAGAGGCAGAGACAGAGCAAGGCGAGAAATTATTATTGCAGAGAAAAAAGCTAACGGAAGAAAAAGCTGGCAGCAAAGTGTTGATAAATGAAGGAAATCAAAATGCAGAAAACAGAGAAAAACACGCCGCCCACACGGTCCACGGATCCATGGATCCCATATGCAATGCGGTTGCGGTTGCAGTTGTAGATGCAGATACGGATGCAGAACTCGACAGAAACTAAGCATTGATGAAAATATATCATCAGAAGTATGGACAGGGGACGGGAGGAGAGGTGATGGGGAGGACTGGCAGCCATAGGCATAGATCATTTTCCCCGAGCTATTTTTAAAACGAAAGCACACAGAGCACCACACACTGAGGAGGAGGCTGGGCTCTACCTATGGCCTGCCATAGTTATTGTATCTGGTGGATGCGTTTAGAAGCAATGCGCCTGATTCTTTTGGATCCCTCTCTCTCTCTCTCTCTCTCTCTATCTGTCTATCTGTATCTGCATCTGTATCTTTCGCTTTGTATGGTCTGGCCTGTCATTTTGATTTCGCTCGACATGTGTGCACACCGCATCTGATCTGACTTTCATCTGGTTGCATTTTGTGTATCTTGTAGCTGTATCTGGTATCTGGCATATCTCTCGCATGCGTATCTCTGTACACATGTAACTATAACGCTTTGTTGAAAGGCAGACAAAGGTGCAGGGAACAGGGACTCAACACAACTCGCCTGTCAAATTAATTTCATTCAATTTAAATGCAATTTGACGCTGTTTGACTGCACTCGCAGCACTCGCTCTACCGCTGACGCTTGGATCTATAAGTATCTCTGTATCTGGCAGGTATGCATGCGCACGTATCCGCCAGATACTTGTACGATACTAGTGCTGCCCCTTCAGCGCTGATTCAACGTTAATGATGCAATGCCCCGTGTGAGACAGCAAACTGTGCGTTTTATTTTGTGATGCCTTTTGATTAACGACCCTTGGGCCTAACATTTTTGCTCGATTGAGTGGATGGATCCCAAGGGGGATTCTGTACTTTCGAGAAGAAAGTATCATTCCCATATTTGGACATCAGCTTACCTCTTGAAATGGTCGTGTCGGAGGGGGGAAATATCTTGGTCGCGGTCGCGGTATTAGTCGTTGGGATCTGCAAAGATAAAGAAAGGAAACCAATATTATTTTCATCATCATTTCTCTTAGTTTAAGATCATTTCTCAATTCCCCATCACAACCATTAAAGATCGTTCTTTAATGCCCATAAGCCAAAGACCTGAAGCAATAGTTTTCAATAATTAACCAAGGAAACAGGCAGTAGGCAGCAGGCCTTAAGCACTAATAAAATCTCTTCAGAGAGCTTCTGAGAGGCGTTTGCAATGCCACTCCCCATGGGGAACATTAACCGCTAAAGACATTCGATAATCATTTAGGGGCCAATAAAATCAAATGGACCAAAGAAAACCCCAAATAGTGGCGTTAATTAACCAAAAAAGTGAACAAAAAACGCATTAAAATATATTTTTGTGTAGAAATCTGATGATAGAATACAACTTCTTTATTTATGATGGAGTTAATTCTACTCCCAGAGATACTTCAAGAGTATCTTTTAGTGTCATCCAGTGTCCAGTGTGGTAACGAGGCTAACTTTGCTTACCGTTCCACTTACAACTGTCCAACAACTGGCACTATCATCCGATTTTGTCATTGTTTGGAAAGAAAATTTTCTTTTTCTTTTTTTTTTGCCGGCAAATGAGCGCAAACAAATGAAAAGTTTAGAAAACTCTTCACACTTCAGTGTGAAAATTCTACGGTTACTTTTTTTATGGTTAAAGATGATCTAACGCCCCGATTTGAGAGCCAGAAGAAGAGAGAGAATGGGGTAAGATCGTGACTGCGACGGACGCTGGAGATCGGGGGGAAAAATTGGGTTAACAGAAGCACACGGTAGCGGATGGAAATCTTTTGGGTTTATTCCAACGGATAGATTGTTGTAGCGGTTGAGCGGAGAATATTCTGATGTCAATTTTTAAGGGGAGGGTAGGGGATGTTCTTAAAATTTTGGCAACATGAAGATATTCTTGAACTAATTTGGAATTGTCATTATAAAATAAAACATTTTTATTTTTAATCAAATCTATCTTTTGTAAAGAATCTACCCTTAAGATAATCTATGATAATCTTTATACAAAGGATCCTACCATAGATAATCTTAGTACAAAGAATTCTTACAGAGAAATTTCGTATAAAGAATTCTCAGCAAAACCCTCCCAGAATCTCCCAACTTTTCTCTTCAACTGAATCCCAGTTATATAACTGAATTACTAAATAATAATCTAACTTACTACAGCACTCTCATAAATATTTAGACTTGACCCGCACAACCCCTTTTTGATGTATTACCCCGCAATCAAAAAATATCAACCAATCCGCCAAAACCTTTTATGATTTTATTTCAGTGTTCGCTCCACATTTTTTATCTGTTCCTCCACAAATCATCACCCGAACGAAAATTATATAAATTATATTATATTATTATAGGTATAAAAACTTTCATAACTTTGCATGGATATTGTATAACAACAAAAGCACCTCCGCAGCTCATGCACTGAAATGTATTTACAGCTACGAGATTATGGTATAAAATTATGAAATGGGAAACACACTCCAAATGGATGGATGGACGGATGGATAGATGAATGGATGGATGGATGGTGTTTGAGCATGAAATTGACAAAATACTCAATCAAATTTCGAGAGTAAGGGGGGTGGGTAGGGGGTTTATTATGGATCAGCAATGTCATTAAACTCTTCAGCAGTTTCGCCGATTTATACATTGATTTTTTAACAGTTTTGTCCAAGACAAAATTATGCTAATTTGTGACTTTGGTTTTGGTTTTATGTGTGGCATTGGGATTAACATATTGTGTGAATTCTGTTTACCCAATAAGAGGGTATTACATACATACACACATATGTAAAAGAATAAGCATAAACAATGAACGCAGGGATTGAAGATCTCTCGATCTTCGATGTTTGATGCGCAATTGCTCATCTCCCATTACTCTCTCAACAACCGCGACAACAATGCGAGAGTAAAGGAGTTCCACAAGCCGGACCTCTTCTCATTAAATTTTACGTGAGAAGCGCAGGAAATCCTAACACGAATTACATCAAAATGTATGTACATACAGACTCTACTAATTCCTTCATTCTGTTGATCTAGCACGGCAATTCCTTCTAGCCTCCAACAACAATGAGCTTTAGGTGTCTCTCGCTCTCTGTCTCGAAATAAGCAAATTTCACGTTTTAAAGTCTAAAAATTAGAATAAATTACGAACGGGATTTATCCTTTGCCTTATGGATTGTATTTTTTGCGTCTTTATTTTTCATTTCATTGCTTATTGCTATAGTACATTTTAAATTAACGACTATGGCTACTTTTTATTTTGCAATCTACGCGATATCAACGGGCAAAAGCTGGGCTATAAACAGATTCGTCACTATATAAATATTTGTACACACTTTTTTGTTTATTTTATCTTAAAAGTTTATTTCTCCAACATTTTCAATGTCAATTCTGCTTGAGAATACATATATTTCATGCAATTTTCGTTTATTTTTAAGCCATGACGATGACGACCATGAGAAGTGAAAGTGCTGTGAAAAATTCAAACCAAGAAAATCGGACATTTACATATACATAAGAATGATGCATAATACAAGTATATTTGGCACATTTCTGTCACATTATCAGCTCACATTTATTAATAACAATCATACGCCCCCTTGGCCCTGAACTGAAAACTGAAACAGAGCGAAATATCCGAGAGAAAAATAAAATTCATTCATTGGACAAAAAGTAAATAAAATACGTTCGCTGGCTCGCGCGTATTTTTGCAGCTGTCTTTCGCCCTGTTCTCGCTTCCCTTTTCGCTTTTGTGTAAACATTTTCGCACTTTTGGTTTTCTTTTCCTTAGCGCTTAATTAATAAATTTCATTTATGTGTTTGCCTTCCCCCACCAGCTGGAGGATGGCAAGAAAGGAAAGGCAAGGCCTACAGATGGATTGTGTTTACACTTCCAAAAAGTCTGAGACGCAGTTCTTAATACCGAAGCAATCCCCCGTACATTCCGCGAATAAACACAATTTCACACTCCAAAACGACAGAGTGGAATGGAGAATGGAGAATATGGAGGGGTTTTGCTGTTTGATGGTTCTCTCTCTATCTCTCTGTCATTCTTTCTTTCTCTTTTGAATATTTACGTTTCTCAAAATGTGAAAGGCTCAAAAGTGTAGCTACGTTTTCTTTCTCAAGATTTTTCTTTGCCATTTTGCATTGTTTATAATGCGCTAATAATACATTTTAGATAAGCGATTGAAGGGGGTCTCTGTGGGAGGGAATTGATAGAAAGAATTCCATATGAGAGCAGTTATTGAACAGTGCAATTGATGATTGACAGCTCCGTTAGTCCTTCAGCAGAGACCCAATCGAGGCAGGTGCCTTCTACTATATCGTTTATAAACATTCCCTCACAGAGACTGCCTTTCTGTAGCATTCTTAAGTCGTTCAAAGACATTTCCCCTCCCTCTCCCACATTCGCAGACATCGTCTCAACCATTTCCATGCTTTATTTTAGAGCAAAATCCAGATTTAAAGGCCAACCGCTTGCTTCTTCTACCTTCCCTTCCACCTAATTTGCCATATAATTTACAGTTTGTCTGTATAGTAATTTATGCACATGCATAATCGATCGAGGGGGGGGCCAGGTTCAAAGGCGTCTCAAAGATTCTATAGCCTAATCCGAACCGATTACTGAACACGATTAGCATTTTTATATAATTTCGCAATCAAGTTCAACATTTAGACAACCAGCGAAACGAGTTCTGTTTGGGGAGGGGGGATCTATAACTTATTTTTATTACATAATAAAACACCAAATTCCGTAGACAATTTGGCTACTAAAAAAAACACTTGTGTTAACTTTCGGGCCTGTTTTTGGCTTTATTTCGGAAGCTTCTCGATTCAGAAGTGAATCAGACAACGCCTCAGAGATATGCATGCCTCATTTGTCGGATAAAGAATCTGGTATAAGTATGTATATGGTATATGTAGTATCAATTGTTTGCATTAGCCGCAAAGCGGCAAAACAGCTGCAGGGAAGCACAAAAGTACGAGTATTTGCGGTATTTTGTCATGTTCAAAGCATTTCGATTCGATGGCTTATTTAATTATAGAAATAAGCTAACACAGCACACATTCTGCGAGCATTTGTTATTATACATTTGAACAGCAACAGCAACACAAATCACGGGGATGACATAAGCGAGCCGAGCCGCTATTTCCACGAGTAAATTGTGTGTGTTTCGATTCAATAGAAATCAAAATGTGTGGCCACACTGGCCACGCTCTCAGTGTGTCCCTGGCACTAATAACAGAACACAAGCAAAAAAGTTTGGTTTGCATGTTTTGTGCTGCTGTTTCTGCATTTTCTATACGAGTAGTATTGCAAAATTGAAAACAATAGACTACACTGCCGTGAAATCATTCAAATACAACGAACGCAGTGCAGTGCACATGATGATAATTGTGTGTGCAGGCCAACAACTGCAACACTGGCAGCACACGATCACATCACACAAGCACGCACTGGTTTTGCGCACTTTATTTGGCTTTGTTTTGTTGATAATTTTGCATTTAATTACACTTTTTAGCTTGTGTTAATTTCCTGCATTCAATTTTCTTAGGAATTGGTAATCATTGTTTTTGAAAGAGGGATTCGATTCGAAAGGAAGCTAGTAATCGGTGCAACTGCAAAGGAGGGACTTTTACGAGTATTTTACTAGCTCCAGGACCAATAAGAAGCTGTCTCTTAAATTCATTTTTACATTTTGTAACATTTAAAATACATTAAAAAGTAGTCAGTCTTCGTTCTAGAGACTTACAAATAAATTTATTAATGTTAAATAGATATGTGCTCGACATTTCAACAAATTGTACTATACCAAGTAGTATGAACTTACCCACCCCAAAGAGAACTTAAATTTCTGCGTTGAAAAGTGTCACCCGAGGCGAATTTCTTTTCTCAATTGATTCCCACTGCCAGTGTTGCCCTATCAACAAATAACAACGAATAATAAAGAAAAGGCACC